TTGGCGGCCTCCCCGTGCTGTTGGGGTTCGCCGTCGTCTAAACCAGCGCGGCCTCCGCTGTTCTGTTTCAGGTGGTGAAGCCTTTACAGCATGTGCCCGGAGCGGCCAGCTGACATCTGCTCGGCCAGAGATGGCTCACGGATGGAGAGGAGTGTGGTGGTTGTGTTACTGCAATAAAAGGTTTTTCCAGTAGTCCCTTGCCTAGGTCTTACTTCTTGAATGCGTGAGTGCTCTGGTTTGTCGCTGTACTTACGCACCTGCCTTTTGTTACTGGGCTTAGCAGAGGGACAAAAGCACATTCTGCTTATTTCTGGGGTTACATATAATGCCTTCATCATAATATTACTGTGTTCTTGCATTTTTATTAACCTGTCACAACAAAAACAACTCTCTGTTTTGATTACAGCGACCTTAATCCCAACCTTTCTGGTAAGGATTTTTCTGTATGTAACTGGTGAAGTGGCACTGCTAGACTTACTGGACTTATGTGGAACTTAAATACAAGTTGAAAGTCAAGCTTTGTACCAGTTTGCAAAGCAACAGCCTGCTGCTCCTGTCTTTCTGTCCTCAGTAAGCTATTCTATAAATGCTGCTATAAATAGACCTACTTGCTCTCTCTCCTGGCAGTCACCCGCAGAGAGTGAGTGCTTGTGTCTCTCCCCTTAGAGGAGTTAGTAAATCAATCTCATTTATTTTCTTCCTTGACTTTCCCTTCCACCACACAATCAGCTAGAAAGATTTATTGCTTTAGGCTATTACATAAAGTAAAAGTAAGGCTGAAAGGATTAGGAATGAGCCTGAAAACTGTCACGGTTCAAGGGCTGGGTTTTAAGTACTGGTATTTTTCATCTGGTAATAGACTGTCACTGGTTTGTGGTGTGTTTGAACTGAGTTGGGTCTGCAGCTCCTGATCCTACAGTCTCTGATGGGAGTGTTCTTCATCCTTCAATGTCCTGAACTTGATGAAGGCACTTTAGTGGGAGGTGGGATTGAGGGTTTGAGTATCCTAAAGAGCACTTCTGGAATAGATGTTCAAATCGCTGAACGTAGGCAGATAGTGAGGATTGCTGTTAGGGCTGTTGTTGAAAGAACGTGAGTGTTTTTTCCCTCCTGCGGTGTTAGTTGTGCCCTGGCCAGCTCATGGGCAGCCTGAGGTGGATTTTGTACCCTGGAGAAAGCCTGTGACAATATGTGCTCGTGCTGTTGCTTGATATAGTTCTTGATTCTTCTTTGGTGCTGGTTTAGTTTCAGAGAATCAGGTGAGTCCATGCTCCCCTGATTCGTGTGACGCAGCAGAGCTCTCAGGAACTAGCTATGAGTGCAAGAAGTCCACCTTGGAGTTTATTTCTTTAGCTGCTGTTTGTTCCTCACGCAGCTTTAGCAATGACCAAAGAGCATTTGCTCTGGCTGCTGCCAGCCCTGACTGTGCTGAGTGACCGAGACAGGAGGCATCAGCTGTGAGTCAGTGGCCAGAGACAAACTGGCTCAGAGGTGGCTGGAGTGTGGCTCAGAGCAGCTGTGGCCCTTCCTAAATATCCCTGTGGGATCAGTGTGGCCTTTGATCATGTGAGGAGGGAGGTGACTTTGCATCCCCACTCAATCTGATGATTGCCTTTTAATAATGCAGCTTAATATCAGGGCACCAGGGTGAACCAAGGGTAGTAAAGGGCTATGTCTGGTCCCAGCGTCCCACTTGGTCCTGTGAAGTTAAACAGGCCAGAAGACACCACGGTACCCAAGCGGGACAGTTCAGCTGGAAGAAAACCTGATGGATGTAGCCAGTTCATCAGCTTGGAGGGAAAGAATAGAAACGTGCGGACACCTGCGCAGGGTGAGGGCTGTGCCAGGCTGTCGCTCTGCTGAAGCTGTTCTGGGGATTTTATCTTGAGCCAGACAAGGAGGCAGGAGACTGCTGATGGTCACTGTAATATTTCAAAATAATTTTACTTCAAATTTTATTTATATCTTAAAAATAAACATCAGTATTAAAATATCAGTAAACAAACCTGTGAGATCAAAGCAGTGAGTATGAAATACATACAGAGTAGTGTACTAGAGACTGCCTGTGAGCATTGTATATTAACTTCAGTGCAAAGCTGAAACAGGCCCACTGCAAGGACAGCAGCGTGTTGCCCAGAACAAGTTTCTTGAGGAGCATTTCCCAGCTTATAGTATGGCTCAGACCAGGCCTGGGTGGGGTAAGAGCAATGGTGGGGGACGCTGGGCCAAGGAGCAGAAATGGGGGCTGTGACACACGTTACCTTTGTGAAGGATTCAGAGCAGAGCCTGTTTCACATGCAAAAGCCTCTTTTTTTTTTTTTTTTTTTTCCCCCCTTCCCGGTCCTTAATCTCCTTACCTTGTCTGTTCCCACCCTGCCTGGTGCACACACACTCGCACAGATGCACACACGTCCTCCGACATAACGCGTCCATCTCCGCAGGCCCTAGGCTCGCTCTGAGCTCTTCTTGCCGATTTTTTTTTTTTTTTCCTGGAGCTATCCTCAGCTGCTCTCCTCCGCTTTGGGAAGGAAAGTGGGCAGAGAGGGACTTGGTTGTGGGCTCTGGTTGCCTTCACACTCAGCGGCTATGAGACTGTTTAAAATGGGAAATGTTTAGGAGGTAATTGCTATCTTTCCCTTGTGAGAAGGGACCTGTGGTCCCTGTGTGGGGTATCGGCTGGGCGGACTCGGTCTCTAAATGCGTTTGTGGCTCTCAGCCCCCTTCTATCAACTTGGCTGCAGCCCTGAGTGCCCAGAAATTTCTCTTCCATTGAGCAAATCAACTCACTGAGTGATTTCATGTTGAACTCGATCCTTTGACTAAGCAATATAATTTTTTTGCTTTGTGTTGCATGTGCTAGAAAAAAATTCAGATTTCGGCCAGGAAAGGAAATGCCAGAAAAGAAGGGCAAGTATTTCAGTGTGGAAATGCTCCCAGCCCGCATCCGAGGCAGCGTTAACCAGCTGGTTCGGGTCCCCTCTCCCATCGCCACACAGAACTCTCCTGCTGAGCATCGCTTCCTCGCCAGCACAGCACAGAAGGCTCGAGGAGCCAATGTTCAGCCTCCCACAGCCCTGTTGCCAGTCACCGGCTCCACTGCCTTCCTGGGGTTAGCTGAGAGAGCAGAAACCAGGTGCTATTTCTGCCAGGTTTGTTTTCTGCTGTTCCAGTGAGTTTAACAACTTGCAGAAGGCTCCAAGGCTTGCGCAGCTCCAGCAGTCATGGCGGGGAGTCGGGTTGATGGGGAGCAGAAGGGATGGGGCCGGCTTCCACTTGTGTTTCCCACCCTGAGGTCACTTGATGCTTTGGTCCTCTGTCACTTGGAGTGAGGTGGCCATGCATGGGCCGCTTTCAGCAGTAGAGACAGGTGAGTGAGGCCCAGGGATGGCATCCGCTCTATTGACAGGAGGATTAAAGCATCTACAGCTGTAGAGCGATTTGGCACACAGAGGAGCGGCAGGCGAAGGGACATAAATTACAGCCCAGTGCTGGTGGTGGCCGGCTGGCATAAAGCTGGCCCCCAGCTGGATCCCAAGGTCACTCTTAATTTGGTTTCTTTGGGCTCCCAGGGCTCTTTGTGGCTGTTGGTGGTGTTCCCTGCTGCAGAGAGAGCACAGTCATGAAATGTCATCAGGGACCCCTCCAGTGACTCCTGGTCAGGGCTGGGCCAGGCTGGGTCCCTGCTACTGAGGAGGCACCGAGCGTGTAGCACCGGGGGT